GCTAATTTCGAACACTTAATAAATCAAAAAGTAGTTATTGGGTAGAATAACTGAAACATGTATCATTAATTCCTCATTATACAATTTAGTTTTTTTGCAGTTCGTTATTTTGCTGAAGATTGAAAGTTTTAAATAATTATATTTGTTAGGTTAATAATAAAATTGTTTTATTGAAAATAAATATTTATGAGAAACATTTCTTTGTAGCTGTGTTAATGAGCCACCTTTTTGGGGTTGACAGAAAATGAGATATTGCCATATATAAATTAATGAAAAAAGTTACCATTTTATCGTATTCATGGCACACTGGATTAAAAATTAAAAATTACAAATATTTAAATTTAGTTCGATGTCAAATGGTAGCAAATGCAGCGTCATTTTCTATTTAAATAAGCAGAAGTATGCTGGGTGTCCCATTTAAAACAACAAAGTTAAATAATCAAATTGAACAATTGAAAACGACAAACAGTGCATATGTGCAGTGTACCTACATTTTTGAATCTTTAAAAGTATAAGAATTATATATGCCCCACTCAGGGTTTGTACGAGAACTCCCTTGTCGTGATACTGACGCTAGTTTTCTATCTTTCCAATCATAGAGGACGATTCAAAAACAGCATTGACAACATGTTTACAGTTAGTACCTATGGCATCTAAAAGTAGCATAGTAGGTTCCTATAAATGTGAGCCTTGAATCACCCATTAGCAACTTGCAGGGTGTTGTGGATTTCTACACTACTAAATGAATGTGTTAACGATGGAGTCAGATAGCATTACCCTCCTAATACATTGCATATAGTTCTTGAAGTTTATTATCATTAACTTTAGGTTAGTCTCCGAAAGGGAGGAGATATGACATAATATACAACTGAATATCGTTCCTGAAGATGCAAAAGATATTTCAAAAAGGCACACAAAACATATGATTCTCTCCTTTTCTGTAGATAATGAAATACCCCAGTGGTGTAGCTTAATTCACGAAAATATGTGCTATTTATTGCTTATAGTTAAGGTTTCGGGTCGATTCCTTTAACTCCTCCTTATAACTTAGTATTTTTTCGTGTTGCTGTCGTGCGTACTAACTTCTGCCCTAGAAATAATGCTGTCTTTTGAATCACCAAAGGAAGTATGCACATATAACATGGTACCAGGGTTGATTTACAGTGATATAGACAGCATACTCTCGTGAATTGCTATTGCCACGTATGCCTGAAGAGTGACAGTATTAAAATTAATTTCCAACAGAACATATATTTGACTAGTTTGAGTAGATCCATTGAGATCATCAACATAGTGGAGTCGCTTTCACTGGGTCAAGTTTTATGACATAATAAGCAAAAAGTAATATAGGCTTTGACAAGCAGGACTTATGCAGGGTAGTTCAACAAGGAAAACAAACAGTGACAATATGTCTGGGTTAGGAAGTAGATACAAAATAGGACAAAAGGTGTATATACACACGAGCTGTGAGATGCTATCTTATGGATATACAAGGTGTATAAGTTACAATTTCGAAGTCGAAAAGATATATATTATCTAGATTTAAGTAGTGACGTAAATTTTGTATATGTAGTAAGAACACTATGAGCAAAACGTACAGAATTTTTGTGGCCCAGCCTACATTAGTAGTATAAAAATTTTAAATATCTGAAACCCGCAAAAGTAAAATAATTTTTTTGATCCTCAACTGTTCGAAAAATTTATTGCATTTTTGATGGGGGGATTTGATATTTCATTTGGAGAGAAATTGGTTTGGACATTGGAGATGAAATCCACATAAAAATTCCTTTTCATTCCTTTCCTTTCCTCTATAAAGGAAATACCATGAAGTTAGTAAAGTGTGATAATTAAAAAAGTATGTAGTATAACCTTATCTCGTTATAAAGTTACTTAAACAATATCGATTGTTTGTTATTACTCAGTCTCGTCAGTGGCACAACAATTTTCAACACCTTACATTTTGGTAATGCATGGTTTCAGGACATAGGTTCACTAGAACTCTTTGCACTTCTTTTGATGTATTTTGTGCACTAGAAATATTGAAATCCCTTTTTTAATCATCCCGTACAAATAGCGCGAGGTGTAAAAACTAGATAAGAAACCAGCATTTCCACTTAAATAATGGGATTGAAAGGAAACAGGTAGCGTGTCTCAGAAAAAAGCCACTACTTCACAGGCCACTAGAGACCGATAAAATAGGCATTTTATCGACAATAAAGATGTCTGTTCGTATATCATGTTTTACGACCTCTATAGATACAAGCTGGAAGTGCAGGTGGTGCCAGATGCCGATTTTATAATCCAGAAATAGTTTCTTTAATGACCTTCGAATCAAACGGGTGTAATAGTTTTGCACCGTTTGCGGTCCATCAGCGTAGGAGGTGTATTGAGTTTAATAATGTAGTTTCTGGTTACTCTATGGTTGTTGGTTAAAAACTGCAATCGAACGGTTTCCAATAGGGATATTCACATGTACTTTGGTGTCCTCTAAAATTTTGTATGGTGGTTGGGACTGTTTAACAGGCAACTATTTCTTGGAAGGTATTGGAATATTGTATGTTTGGAGACTATAAAGTTAGCCATAAGAAATTGCAATGACAAAGAAGAGCAAGAACCCATACCAATTTCGTAATTATTGTATAATAATATAAGTCCAAATCAATACGGTTTTGTAACAGGAAAATCTACTACTGATAGTATACTGAGTCTAGTGAATCAAATCACTCCAAACCTTGATGAGAAAATTCCATCTATTTGTGCATTTGTCGATCTGGAAAAGGCATTCGATACAGTTAATCACAGTTTAGTGTTAAATATTTTAGACAAATTAGGTTTGCGTGCGAAAATATATTCTTTTATTCAAAGTTATTTATCAAGAAGGCCCCAACTATTGAAACTGTCAAAGTCATACAGTAAGGAAATGTTTGTCAAATGTTGTGTACCTCAGGGTGCAGTGTTAGACCCTCTTTTATTTACTATCTACTTGAATGATGTATTCAATATTAACTGTGTAGGTAAAGTACTTAGTTTTGCTGATGATACGGCAATACTATAAAAAGGGCAAGAATGGTAAGATGTAAAGAGAATAATTGAGAATGACTTTTATAAAACATTAATTCTTTCAACACTAGAAAATTAACAATTAACTTTGGAAAAACGCATCTTCTATCTTTCACATCAGACTCAAGACATCTACCCGATTATTCAAATATTTCCTTCAAAATAAACAATACAAATTTAAAAATTGACAGAGTGGACAATATCAAATATTTAGGATTTTTTTAGTATAACATTTATGGTGGGACATTCATACAGCCTAAGTTTAAAAGAAAATAAGATTTGTTACATACTTTGCTTTTCGCAGGAATATTGACAGAAAATTATATTCTTACTTTATATTATGCCTTAATTGAGCCGCACCTAAGGTATGGTATATCAGTATGGGGTACAGCATGTCTAGTGCACTTAAGCGACATAGAAGTTTTAGAGAGAACTGTTTTGAAAATTATGTTCGGAAAACCAAAATTATATTCAACAAACGATTTATATAACGAAACAAAATAATTTGATATGAAGCAACTTTATTTTTTACGTACTATCAGCCATTTTAACAAAGTTGTCAGCGCGATAGAATCACACATCATGGCAATGATACACGATATAAATCACGAGCAAAAACTGTCACTAAACCTAATAAAACCATGACGAAGCGATCTTTTCTCTACTTATCTCCAAAATTATATGAACACATAACCAAAGACTTAAAACAATTTCGAAATTTTGAAAATAAATTATGAGAATGTATACGCACAATAGGAAGACAAGGCATTGTCGAAAAGTTTCTTTTAAATTTTTTGTTTTTTTTTGGAACACATTCCAACACAGGACTGATCCATGTACAGGCATTGTCCTTCTATGGATTGAAACATTTATTTACCCATTCTATGTTGTTATTGTTCTTATACAATGGAGTAAATAAATGATTACTACTACTACAGTAGTTTTGTTTTCAAAGATGACGAAACTGCTACTGTACGTTGACCACTTGTAGCACTAATAATGCACTAGGATTCAGAGGAAAATGCAACAGATATACTGATCAAATAATTTTAAAAGAAGTAGTTAGAACTACTCAGTTTTATCGTGACTGCTGATTTCATTCTGTATCCGAGGCCTAGATACTATCAGCTCACTTAAGTTAAGCAAAAAATGACGTGGAATCTGAAATATTCTCTGACAACTAAAGCGGATTACTTTGAGGTGATTTTTGCAACCGTTAGACATTTTTATTTCTGACATGCAACATGATTTTTACTTACTTTTTCCAGTCCGGATGAAATTGCAGCACATGCTACTTCAGTGGTCGAAACATTGGTAAACATTTAATCTAATGTAGGTGGTTTTAGTTAGAGGTCAGCATAAATTTATAAAGGGTAATTAGGATTACAACTATGTTATTTAACGGCCCTATCGAGGATAACTATGGAACGAGCCACTCATCCGCTGTGAGGTTACAGTTTCACATTTGTGCTTGAGTATGCCTCACTATGAGGCATCTATATTCCTTCTCCTCGTCATCATTCAAAGCCCCCTATTCCTTGGTTACCATGAGAAATGGCAAGAACAGCCCTAGCCATAGACAAATAGTGAGAGAACCAAACTTCGGTGCCATGTCAATGCTCGGCGTCTTAGTAGGTCACATTTGGCTCAATAACGATACTTCCGCAAGTAAAACTTGGGATTGCTTTTTAACACATACATTATATGTAATATATAGATTTTGTGCACATGTACATACGTTGCTTGATGAAAACACAATTCTAAATAAGTTAAATTAAATTAGTTTCATTTATAACATTTCCAGTATAAATGATACCCCTTAATCTATTCGACTGTAGATCTTGCACAGTTACGGTGTTAGAAACAGTCACCCCACATCCCCAAATGCGGACATTGCCCTTAGGAACAGACACCATACCCGGCGCAATAGCAATTATCCCATGGCCCGAAATAAACGTTACTCCTGGGTGAGCGCACGGGCAGTTCTGCGCCGTGGCGCTTCTCGAAGCTGTGTCGGCAGCGTCGGTGGCATCTCAGCCTGGAGCGGAGCGTCGCCCTTCCAGGATGATGCCACGGTAAGTAAAATACGACACAGCAACGCTACTCCCGGCCAATTTTCATGGTTTTCTCGGACCAGAAAGAATGAATAACTGAAAATTGAATGAATGAATGAATCTTGAAATTAGAGGCATTCCGGCCACCATAAGGAGCCAGTGCACAGGCCGCTTAAGCGGGCCCTTATGCACCTCTACAATCCTTAGATCACAAGCCTCGCCCTTCTAGCGAAATTGAGAATCGCCTTGAGTCCAAGCTCCTTGACGTCCTGAGGGTCCAAAGCAACGGACCCCAGTATAGTCTGCCTATAGTAGCTCATAGTTTCACAGCGACACAAAACGTGCGCCGAGGTCTCTTCCTCTACTCCACAGCGTTCACACAAGGGATCCTCAGCCACCCCCAGGTGACGCCTTAACGTGTTATGGCCAGACAACAGTCCCACCAGCAACCTTAGGTTGGCTCTATCCAGAGATAGGCAGAAGCGTCCATCCTTAGCAGTGGGCCCTTCAATGAGTTCTCGTGCCTGGCGGAGATGTCTGGAGATACTTCTCCATTTCTGATAGTGTTGTCTTGCAACCCACGTCTCCATTTTCCTCCTAGCTTTCTGCGCGGTCACTCCTAGAGCTGGCTCAGGACCAACGAGCTCGCTGGCTGATCCTGTCTTCGCCAGAGTGTCCGCCGTCTCATTGCCCCTTATCTCAGCGTGCCCCGGTACCCATATTAACGATACCGGATGCCTCGCTGCGAGGCAATCCAGAGCCTCCCTGCATTGCAATACAAGACTCGAAGTAATCTTACAGGCACTTAGTGCTTTCATTGCAGGAAATTAATAGTACTTTGGATGAAGATCAGTTCTCGCCCCACTTGGTGCTGGTGACGTGACGTGTATTGGAAAACTAGCAGCGACTTCCTCTCTAATGAGGAACGTGGAGGTGATCTCTACTTGGAGACGCTACAATCTGGCGCAGCTTATTGCTTCCAAAACTCAGTACTACACCTTGACTAACACAAAGCGCCCTAGCACTCAGCTGCTGTCGATGGATGGCCGAGTTTTTCCAGATAATCCCAGACAAGACCTAGCCTCAAATACTGCTCACATGTTTGGTGTGCTGCTGCTCCAACTACATTATCCATGGTTAAAGCTGTTCGGACGAGAGCTGTCCAGCTGGTCGAAGACTCTTCCCTAATGGGAGAATTTTTCTCAATGATGCCGCCTCGCGATGAGCCTTACAGCCCCGCCCGACTGCGGCCCAGTCGAGCTTCGTACATCGAGAACCAGACGGTCTGACCCCTCCTTTGTCCCTATGTATCGAGATTGTGGGACAATCTAACTGATGAGGATTTTCCCAGTTCTACTAAGGTTAGGCAGTGTCAAAATCAGACTAGCATGCTTACTCGACTGCTTCCATATCAAAAAAAGTATCATAACTTATACTAATTTTTTTGTAAAAATTTCAAATTTTAGAAGTATCCATTGCCTGAATGAAAGCTTAGGAAACTCACTAGGAAAATTATTTTAGATTATTATACATGCAGAAAATCCGTTGATGCCGTGGTTCCACTTTGAAATATTCAAATTTAAGTTTAAAATGTCATGATAACCTATGATGCTTTGCATTATTTTTTAAGGGATCCCGCACAGAACATACGGAAATTAAGTCCCAATTGATTTTTCTAAAAATTGAGTATGACATATTGCTCACCCTCCTGAACATAAGTCCTTGTGGAACCACAACGATCTTATAACTGGTTTCTCAGAGGTAGGTGGATAACGTTTGTCCAATTTGCAAAAACGGTGAATGTGTGATTGGGGTACTCATACCGAAAACACGAAGAATCGATTTAATGAAAGAACTATTTCTTATAAATACCTTGTAGGATCGTGTTTGGAGGTGTCATGTTTATCCTGACCACACGCTTATATAGAATCTGTCTAAGAGCACCAAAGTCGCTACAATTTTTAGATGGAATATATAGATTTCGTATTCCGAACCTCATTGAGAAGTAGCGTTTCTATCCGTAGGTGAATAGTGAAAATAAAAGGAATACCTGGGTGAATAATAATGTCATCTGCAATTTTACTACTATTCATCATTGTCTGGGCGGTCCGTAGGACCTTTGCCCATTTGTCACTGTCTAATGTACGTTAGTCGAATATGTCAGTCCTGGTTGCACAGAAACCAGACAATGTATCTGCAATTATATCTTGTGAACTTGAACCTTTATGTCGAAATAATTCATAACGAAGAAGAAATAAGTAATTCTGAGTGTAGCTTATCATGTAATTTTCTTTCTTGAATACTTCCAAAACCAACATAATGTTTGAAAACGGCTTTAAGTGTTAAGAAGGAGAAAACATTAGTACACTACCCGTCTTGGATGAAGCAGTCCAAACCAAAGCAGAGTCTGTTGCATTCAATAATTTGTATGTCAGATTGACATCTAGTAACGAGATATGGAATACATCAAGTTATTATAGAACCCTCCAGAATAACTAGTACTTCGAGCAGCTTACTGGATCCCATATTTATCAATGATCCTCAAGCCTCTTCAAATTCTGGGACCATAAATATGGATTTATTTACCCATCTTTTTCTAGTATTTTGTGAAACAACTTTGCATTATAAAAAACCCAAACAAAAATTCGTTAAATTCAGAGACCTTAAAAATTTTGATACTTCATCATTTCAAAATGATGTTTTAAACTTTCCTTGAAACATTATATATTCCTTAGAGAGTATCGATCACAAAAGTTCATATTTGACAGATGGGCAAAAATTCATTTTTGATAAGCATGCACCTCTAATAATTGTACGTGTAAATAAACCTCATGCACTCTGACTATCGACCTAGCTCAAATGTATGATGAAGGACGGAGACAGAGCTTTAAATCAGTTCAAAATTAATAAGTCAGATGATTCCTGGAATCGCTACAAAGAGCTCAGAAATTCAACTTTAAGTCAAATTAGATATGAAAAGGCAGCATATTTATTATACATCCGTCAACAAGGTAATTCAAAAATGTTTTATAGTTTCCAACTGTCACAAAATACGGATATTCGTCGACATTTAAAGAACCCTAGTGACATTAATAGTTTTTTATGTTCCATTTTTAATAACGCTATTTGTTCATGCAGAGAGAAGATTGAGCATTATGGAAAGAATCACGTTTAAACCAATCGATATCATTGATTTAAAATCGACGTTCCAGAGTCTGGAATCGAATGTCTTGGGAAGTGATGACATGTCACTCGGGATACTAAAACTATGCTTTTTTGTGATTTCAGGTCACATTTTGCACATGATAAATACCTGTTTAGAAAGGGGGTTCTTTCAAGAATCATGGAAAGAAGCATTAGTATTACCTCTAACTGAAATAAGTAAACCAAAATTATATTCTGATTCAAGACCAATTAGTATTTCACCTGTCTTATCCAAATTATTAGAAAAAGCAATGTACGCCCAAATTTACGATTATCTCTCTAAACATAAAATTTTTCCTCCCAAACAATGCGGTTATCGAAAAGAATATAACACTGCAGTTGCCTTGCTAGACTTAACCTATAACATTGTTAGAGCCTGGGATCAACAGATGATCACATCATTAGTTCTTCTTGACTTCTCTAACGCATTCGATACCATAAATCATCCTCTTCTAGTAGCGAAGTGTAAATATTTTGATTTTTCTAAGTCTGCCTTAAAAATTATTCAGGGCTTCTTAGGAAATCGATATCAAAGGTTCTATATCCAAGGTGCCTCATTTCCTCCAGAGTGCCCCAAGGGTCTGTACTTGAGTCACTCCTATTCATTTTATATATTTCTGAACTCCACGCAGTTGTTAAATATTGTAATATCCAATTCTTTGCCGACGATTCACAGATCTACAGTCATTTCCATAATCATTACAGTCAAAATACTGAATCTGAGGTAATTGAAGATATAACGTCTGTTAGTATGCATGCAAAGAATCATAACCTTCAGTTGAACCCTTTAAAACCAAAAGTCATTATTTTTTTACGAAAACTGTTTAGAAGCGATTCCAAAAGGAATTTTAAGGTAAAACTAAATGAGACTATAGAATTGAGTCAGTGAAAAACTTGGGCGAAACTTTAGATGAATGTCTAAATTTTATAACACATGTAAATAATATCAGTAAGAGTTGTTTTTCAATTTTACATCAATTATATTTTTATAAACAATTTCTCGACTTTATAACTAAAAAAAATGTCTGAATGTTTGGTAATGTCCAAAACTAGTTATTGCGATTTAGTTTATTTTCCATTTCTTGACTCAATATCTCAAGCACATCTCTAAAAAATCCAAAACTCATGTTGTAGGTTGATCAATAAATATGATATCAAATTTTTCAAATATACTTAGTGGTTGAGAGTGAATGAACTGTGTGAGCTACACCTAGTTTCATAAACCCACAGGTTTTTGCTATCATACATTTCGCCGTTTTTGAGAAATAACCTGATATCTAGAAGCAATATCCATTCTAGGGACATTCGATTTACTGAAACACTCACAATGCCCTTTCACAGGACATCAACCTTTCGTAAATGCTTCACCTACAACGCAGTTATTATTTACAAAATGGCTATCATATGATGCATTTAAAAGAAATGAAGAGATTTATTTTGAACATAAGTATATAAATTAGTTGACAACATTTATCTGTCACCTCACACAAAATATTTCCAATATAGCGTTTCTTTGTTTGTATAACTGTTACAATTTTATACTTTTAACTCATGAAATATTGAATAGCCTTCGCTTATATATGTTATATACATCATATTTCTTACACACCTACATTTTTAAACTTCTAACCTATCAAATGCATTGTATGTTTTTGTATTATTTTTCAGTTTTTCTTTTTTTTTGAGTTAAGTGGCAGCATTATGCTAAAAGCAATAAATGAGTCGGTACATCACTGCCACCCTCACTTCTCCTAACCCCATCCTACGTCAAAACGTATAATGTACCAAGACTACGTGAGTCGGGATCCAAACCAGGCGTCGCGTGGTGTCTAGGTTATCCTTGTTTATAAAGGACCGTATTTTAAAAACCGAAATTGGCCTAATCCTATAGCAATAAACTAGTTATCGATTTTCCGATTCAAGATTCTATTGGTACTCCGCGAGTGTACTCAGAGCGTCCTTGTCGACCTCGATGTTTCTTTCCATCAGAGAGATAAATCTATGTTGATATGGTGAAAAGCCGTCTGGTTGAACGCAGACAGTCCCAAGTGTACTTTGAATCGAACAGCGACAACTTCAAGAAGTTTTTACAAACAAAACATGTGACAAGGCGGTTCTTGGAATCATTTACCAAATGAATAGCGACTATTATTTCTCTCGAATCTCTTTTTTACGTTTTCGGTGTTGTTTTGCCCCAAATTAGCTTTGGTATTGCAGACGCAGTTGTTTCTAGAAGGGAAAGTCCCAACTTCATAGTGATAGATGTGAACAAAATTATACATACCTCGTGCGAGGCCATGATTGGTCTCGCACATTCTAACCTTCGGCTACACGTATGGAATATAATACTTAGAAACTTCCAGTGTTTCAAATACCTAACACGTCTACCTAAAAAAACATAAAACGATGTCAGTCGAAGAAATGTTTCTATTTTATAAATAATTGTGGTCTCAATTGATTGGGCACGCCTTGTGAACATAACTGAACATGGACTATTTGTTTGACTCATTATATACGAGACGCTTCCCACTCCAGTTTTTCCACTTCAAGATTTGTACCAAAATATGCCTTTATAATCGAAACATGACGAAACTATTTACTTTTAAAACAATTTATTTTCTCAAAAACATTTTAGATTCACTCTAGTCGTAAAAAATACATATTTGAAATCACTTAGACCTATAACCAATAGAACATCTGAACAAATAAACAATGTGCGAACAAATGCGCGAAGCTAACAATGCCACAATTGAAGGATTACCATAGGGTAACATCACCTTTATTTTTTATTTCGGCAGAAATTCTTTGGGGCAAGTTTTGGCAAAATTTTGGTGTAAAACAATCCCATATTTCTTGAAGCTTTTTTCTCAGTTCGGTGATTGTACAAGCTTGTCGTAGAACGTTTGTCATCTCGTGCCACAAAATTTCAATAGGTGACAGATCTGAGCTGCTAGAAACCCAATTTAAAAGTGGTACATTATTTTCTTTCATCCATTTTATAGCCTCTTTTGAGGTACGGCACGTTGCACCATCTTGCTGAAACACAAAATCTTGGCCGGATATCAAACATACTTCCATCACTGGTAAAAGCGGTTCTTCTAAAATTGCGAAATATTTGTTTGTATCCACATTTCCATCAATAAAATGAAGTTTTCCTACTCCGTTTGATGAAATACTGCCCCACATCATAATGGATGCTGGAAATTTCACTTTTCTCTTCAGACAGAAAACATGGAATGCTTAATTTTTTTTTGCAAATAACTGTACTGCGACTGTCACCAACACAAACTTCGAATCGGGCCTCATCACTCCATTGTATTACACACCATTGTTGAAGTGTCCATCGTCTATGTTCTTTAGCCCATCTAAGCCGATTTTTCTTTTGCAGTGGAGTTAATTGTGGCTTTTCTTTGGCCTATAAACTAGCGTTTTTACTTCATGTTCTTTTTATAAGAAAACCTACCTTGCAAATGCTAAATCCCAGTTTGTGGGCCTCTCTATGAGTTGTGGCCCATCACGTTACGTGGGGCAGCTCGAACACCAACAGACGGGGCGAAGACTTGATGGAGTTTCTTGGGGCATCGAACCTTGAGGTTCTGAATGTCGGTAACATGCCCACTTTCAGCAATAGTGTAAGAGAAGAGGTTATCGACGTAACACTGAGCACGCTTAACTTAGCTCAGGACATCAGGGACTGGAAAGTGTCTCTAACACCCTCTCTATCGGATCACAGGTATATACTGTTCAAGACTGATGGAGAGATTCCGGATAAATATGCTCGGAATCCCAGGCATACTAGATGGGGGTCCTTTAGGTCAGACATTGACAGTAAGCTTGGAGCGGTCCCATACAGGCTTGGCAGGGGCGCTGACATAGAAGCAGCTGTCGAGTCTCTGAGCAGGGACTTGACGGCTGCATATGAGGAAAACTGCCCGTTACGCAAAGTACAAGGTAAGGGCAAGACAACCTTCTGGACCAAAGATTTAGAGGATAGAAAACGAGCGGTGCACAAACTTCTTAGCAGAGTTAAGCACAGGAGAGGTTCTCCTCTATGGGAAGAATACAAAAAGGCATTGCAGGAGTACAAAAAGGAGATTAGAAGAGCCTCCAGAGAATCCTGGAGGCACTTCTGTCAGTCCATAAATGACATTCCTGCTACTGCAAGAATACACAGAGTCCTATGCAAAGACATTAAAGCAAGATTGGGATCTCTGCATGATCCCTCGGGGGGGAACACTACTTCCGAGGAAGATACTCTGAGGCTTCTGATGGATACGCACTTTCCCGATTCCACAGTAGCGCGATCAATCACAGAGTGCATGCAGTTGCGCAGGCCCTCAAGGGAGGACTGGCGCACGGCAAGGGAGATTGTCACCTTCGAAAGGACGGTATGGGCAGTAGATTCGTTTGCCCCATACAAAAGTCCAGGTCTGAACGGCGTATTTCCGGCCATGTTACAGCAGGGACGGATTTCGGTTGTTCCTTACCTGTTGAAGGTGTTTCGAGCATGTGTGGCCACGGGCTTCACACCTAGAAGCTGGCGGCAGGCTAAAGTGGTATTCATTCCTAAACCGGGCAGAGATAGATATACTGGCCCGAAGGATTTTCGACCGATTACTCTTTCATCTTTTGTGCTTAAGACCCTGGAAAGGATAGTTGATAGATACCTAAGGGATAGCCCACTGGAAAGGTGTGTCATTCATGCAAATCAGTTTGCATACCAAGCTGGAAAATCGACTGATCTGGCCTTACACAATCTGGTCGGGAGGCTGGAGAAGACTCTAGATCAGCGAGAAGTGGCACTCGTGGCCTTCTTGGATATTGAAGGTGCATTTGCACCACAACCGACTCTATCAGACAGGCCTTGGTTAGACACGGGGTTGGATCAATCCTAATAGATTGGGTCCTCTCTACTTTGGAGGGTTGAGTAACAACAGCTATGCTGAATATCGTAAGCTGCAGCGTGAACGTAGCTAGAGGCTGCCCTCAGGGCGGAGTTCTGTCACCCCTACTGTGGTGTATCGTGGTGAACGAACTGCTCGTTAGGCTCAGCAGTATGGGTGTCTACGCGCAAGCCTATGCTGATGACGTAAGCATAGTGGTTAGGGGGCGTTTCTGTAGAACAGTCTCGGAAATTATGCAGGGCGCTCTGCGCTCCGTGGAATCGTGGTGTAGGGAAGTCGATCTTTCTGTTAATGCTGAAAAGACCGAGCTGATCCTATTCACTAGGAGAAGAAGGCTTGACGGACTGGTCATGCCGACCTTCTTTGGGACTAGATTAGTTTTGTCCCAGTCAGTGAAATATCTGGGAATTATCCTGGACTGCAAACTGAACTGGAGAGAGCATGTGGAACACAAGGTTAGCAAGGCTCGCAATTCGATGTGGGCTTGTAGACGTGTTGTCGGTGTAAGGTGGGGGCTTAAACCCAAAGTGGTATACTGGCTCTACACGACGATAGTACGTCCATCTCTCTTGTACGGCTCCCTGGTCTGGTGGCCTTGCATTAGAACTGAGTCAACTAAGGCCAAACTCAAAATATGGGTACCGGGGCACGCTGGGATAAGGGGCAATGAGACGGCGGACACTCTGGCGAAAACAGGATCAGCCAGCAAGCTCGTTGGTCCTGAGCCAGTTCTAGGAGTAACCGCGCATAAAGCTAGGAGGAAAATGGAGACGTGGGTTGCAAGACAACACTCTCAGAAATGGAGAAGTATCTCTAGACATCTCCGCCAGGCACGAGAGCTCATTGAAGGGCCCAGTGCTAAGGATGGACGCTTCTGCCTATCTCTGGGTAGAGCCAACCTAAGGTTGCTGGTGGGACTGTTGTCTGTCCATAACACGTTAAGGCGGCACCTGCACGTGATGGAGGTGGCTGAGGATCCCTTGTGCGAACGCTGCGGAGTAGAGGAAGAGACCTCGGCGCACGTTTTGTGTCGCTGTGAAGCTCTGAGCTACTATAGGCAGACTATACTGAAGTCCATTACTTTGGACCCTCAGGACGTAAAGGAGCTTGGACTCAAGGCGATTCTCAACTTCGCTAAAAGGGCGGGGCTTGTGATTTAAGTATTGTAGAGGTGCATAAGGGCCCGCTTAAGCGGCCTATGCACTGGCTCCTTATGGTGGCCGGGATGCCTCTAAAATTCAAGATTCATTCATTCATTCATTCAAGGCCAAACTCAATAAAATTCAGCGTTTGGCCTGTATTAGCATTACAAGCGCAGTGCGAACAACGCCATTGAGTGCAATGGAAGCTCTGTTGGATCTCCCACCGTTGGATCTGGTGATCCGCGGTGAAGCGAGAGTAGTCGCTCATCGACTGTGGAGTCAGGGCAGCTGGGCTTTCTTGAATCCGGTCAAGGGGCATACTGCCATCTTAGTCGAAATAGAAAGGGAGAACCCCGTCCTTCTAAGCAGGGGTGATCGTATTACCCCTAAATATCGCTTCAACCGCAAGTTTATTGTGGAGTACCCAGCGAGGGAGGAGTGGGACGCCGGTAGCCAAGGACTCTCCGAAGTGAGCGGGCAGGTCTGGTACACGGACGGCTCGGTCACCGAAGAGGGCTCAGGTGCTGGGGTCTCTGGACCTAGAACTAGGCTATCTCTGCCTCTCGGTGAGTACACCACCATTTTCCAGGCGGAAATCTTTGCGATTCTGGCTTGTGTATCTCACATTCTGGAGGAGGGTGGGCCTAGGAGAAGAATAACAATCTTATCCGACAGCCAGGCTGCAATGAAAGCACTAAGTGCATGTAAGATTACTTCGAGTCTTGCATTGCAATGCAGGGAGGCTCTGGATTGCCTCGCAGCAAGGCATCCGGTATCGTTAATATGGGTACCGGGGCACGCTGGGATAAGGGGCAATGAGACGGCGGACACTCTGGCGAAAACAGGATCAGCCAGCAAGCTCGTTGGTCCTGAGCCAGCTATAGGAGTAACCGCGCATAAAGTTAGGAGGAAAATGGAGACGTGGGTTGCAAGACAACACTCTCAGAAATGGAGAAGTATCTCTAGACATCTCCGCCAGGCACGAGAGCGCATTGAAGGGCCCAGTGCTAAGGATGGACGCTTCTGCCTATCTCTGGGTAGAACCAACCTAAGGTTGCTGGTGGGACTGTTGTCTGCCCATAACACGTTAAGGCGGCACCTGCACGTGATGGGGGTGGCTGAGGATCCCTTATGCGAACGCTGCGGAGTCGAGGAAGAGACCTCGGCGCACGTTTTGTGTCGCTGTGAAGCTCTGAGCTACTATAGGCAGACTATACTGGGGTCCATTACTTTGGACCCTCAGGACGTAAAGGAGCTTGGACTTCGCTAAAAGGGCGAGGCTTGTGATTTAAGTATTGTAGAGGTGCATAAGGGCCCGCTTAAGCGGCCTATGCACTGGCTCCTTATGGTGGCCGGGATGCCTCTAAAATTCAAGATTCATTCATTCATTGTGGACCATGAAATTCTCCTTCCAACAGCGTCACTCCACAGAGCTCTTAATTGTAAATAATTGGCACGCCTGTTTTTCACGATTATTCTTCTTAATGCTCTTCGGTCGGCATTTGTGATATTACTTTTTTTCACATATCATGGCTTAATATTAACTGAACCAGTTACGTTATATCTTCTATCAATATTTCTCACACTGCACCGCGATAAGTCTAACAAAGTTGTAATGTCTGAGTTTGGTTTTCGAGAATTAAAAAATTTAATTATCAGTAACCGAATTTTCTCACTAATAACCTTTCCTCTACCCATTTTGAAAATCTTAACTATCCAAAACTATTTTAAACGTATTACGACAGCTGTGATTAATACAAACAATGATTGTCATGGCTTTTATTTTTCACAGCCACCTATGCGTTATAGACTTATTTTGCATTGAAATGAAAATTTGTTGATATGCTGTAATTGCATGTATTATTTTTATACTGCAAATATGATTAGGGAGTGATAAAGTTGGTGTTTTCTACTATATATTATCAAAATATTCATTGTTAATATTTTAAACCTATAACACCCTGCTACATTTTTATTATTTGTGTTTGATAAGAAAAAAACTAAGATTTCAATAGTTGGGCCAACTGAAGTGGGAAGGGGCTCGTATATACCCAGGAACGTAATTTTCTAGTGGTACTCAAAATTAAAATGGACGTTATGAAATAACAGATTTTAGGGCTCAAGTGGTAATAATACACGAACAATTTGGTAATACAACGGCTTAACACGTTTGCACGTGGCAGCTCTTTGCAACGTGTGACGAGCACTCGCTGCTTCGCCGTAATTTCATGAAGTTGTGTTGCTGAGTAGTACTGCATACACCTCGATGAGAGTATTTCTATTCTGCGCAACGGGAAGACCTAACGACCGTTCGCACATCAGCTGTTCTCTATTTTCCCCCACCACAACTTCTTAGTCTTCTTATGTCCCTCTTCCCTCTGCTTCCGGTGGTTCATTGATAAATCCATTCAGTTCTGTACGGCATAGAGCACAGTTCTGTCTCTTGCTTTATATTATAGGCCAGAGATTATGCTTGTTCGTTATTTGGAAAAGGATCTTATATAAAAATAGCATCGGGCATGTTGACCCTGCACTTCCTTCTTTTTGGTATAATCTTGAGGTTCTTTAGGATTTGGCTACCTGAGAAAATATTCTAGGCCTCGTTCTTCAAACACTTTTGGAGGCTTTCACACAAAGTTATCTCTTGCCGATGGGTGGCCCTCCCCCGTCCTCTGAGAAAAATTACTGAGGGCGGACATCATCTAAAATATGTGTGCGTCTAGCTTGGATGACAATCGACGGTCCACACCCAGTTGAGCAGCGGAGGCCGACTGCTACACACATGCGTCGGTAGGACCGCAAAGAGTATGATCGACATGCGTCGAAAATGCTCCTCCATCATTCTATGAGTAAAATACGTCTAATAGGTGCTTAAAATTACCACGGCTTCAGGCGCATGCGTAAACCAACATTAAGAAATTGAAACATGCCCTTCTCCGCCCCCCAACTTTTTACCCCTAAAACGTTATTCGAAAATGATCAGGATCCTCTGTAAGGTCAAAAAACGAAGGCTACTGGATCGATTTTCAAAAACTATGATAGTTTTTGCAACCTTGACATAGTTGTAACCTTATGTCAAGAATTTTATCAACATCCGACCACTGCTTTCCAAGCTTTAGTGCGGTTAAGGATTAGCGAACAGACAGACAGGCAGAAATCAATCAAATGGTTTTTCGAGATGCACGTGTCATATAACATCAAAAGATCGTAATAGCATATTTTCTAAATTCTTCGCGATCACACCAATTCCTCGCCAATGGTGCCGGAAGTAAAGAGAATGATATCTTGTTTATCTAGCTGTAGCTCATGTAGTCTGGAATAACGGCATTGATTCAATGTACGAAATCTTGAAATAATTTAGTAACATTTATGGATTCAAGATTATTTCACGTAATCATCGTGAAGTCAAGCAGAACAACTCGTTTCATCCTTCACATTGATCAATCTACCTGTCGTTAGTGATAAGTGACATATGAAACATGAATGTTCTACGAAAGCTTGGAAAGGACATCGCAAAACAAATGTATTTCATTTATAACCGTCAGCTGCAAGTTGGAATTACAACTGACAAACTACAGCTAATTGTAACTTGCAGCTGATAATTCAGCTTAATGCAACTTCTAACTGGCAATTATAGCTAACTGCAACTACTAACAACTAAAGCTAATTTCCACTAATCAAAAAAGGGTAAACAAAATACCAGAAAGTTTAGAATAATCTTGTGAATGACAATAAATAGGTAACGCCACGACTTACTACGTGTCGAAATTTTGTTTTGGTAAAAGTCTTAGAGATTTCCAGCATTGAATTTTTTTTTTCACAGTCTGACTTACATCCCAGTAATTTTATCATTTCTACAAATATTGCCTTTTTGACTAAGTTTGTTTTTAAACACAGTAAGCATTTCATCGCATCGACTAATATTTTCCACCCAAAATGAGGATCTACATGACAAATATTCTGAAGAGCAAAGTTCAATGAAAAGCCATCTCCACGTCTGACCTAGATTAAACTAAGTATGATCACAGTGCCAATTAGTTCAAAATATTGGTTAGTTAATGGTAATTTTGAAATAGCTCATTTTCATATGTAATCCGTCCACCTCTACTATCACGGTAAAGATTTTTAAATGGTGTTATTGTCAACCACACTCTGCTATTATTTTATTCCAGTTTCAGTTATAATGGACGAGGCTGAGATTCAGGGAATACCACGAAACAGCAATTTATGGCACGGATTCATAAAACAGCAGGATTGTATTTTCGGATACCGAAAAGACGAGATCTGCGAGAAACATCGCACGTCACTGCCATCGCGGCATCTCTCTGAATACGGCGAGATATGTGCGCACCGACTTTGTTAGCTTGAAGGCACGTCGCGCTAGCAGTGGCGGGCGGTGTGTTTTACTGCCCTCTTCATTTTCAGCACCAGAGTATAATAACATCATTTCAAAATGACCGTTAATCATCCAAGTTTGGCAGACTTGATTCTCTCAGACTACAGGGTGTCAAACTCAAAGTAAAAGTGGATTTTCATTAACAAGTATGAATTTAAAAATAAGAAATTTTCGTGTTTGTTTCTCGCCAGTTTAAGGGAAATATGAAATAATCAATTATAGGTGTTCAAAGATAAACACAAAAAAGTTGAAATTTGGTAGAAATGAGTGAGACGAGAGCGCAAACCACTTTTCCAACAAAAACAAAATGTTAAGAATCTCAGAAACTATGGGACATTGAGTAAAGCAAAATTTTGCCATATCGTTCATTTTATGAACCTTCTGGAATGTGTTTTTGCAAAAGTGTTTCAGCATTCTCGTATTTGCCTGATTCTAAAGGGACTGTACTATTAGCGACATTAATCGATCGGATCAGCTATTCGTTACCATGCCTTTTATTATTCGTTATAAAACATTCTATTCCACTAATTGGTCGTGCATCTGTTCTTGCTTTACGGTGATTCATTATTGTCCTGAAAGAGGACCGACGCGGCGGATTGAACAAAACGGTCTTTTTTTGGATGATCTGGACAGGGCCTTTTTTCCCCTCAATTAAGCTTCAGACAGCGGGTATATCTTTTATGCGTGGCTCAATTATTGGAACAGAATTTCCTAATTTGTGTACCACATGCTTTCGCACAGCAAATCCTGAGTGTGGAATGTTAAGGCTCGGCTAAACCAACGCGTTCAGCTTGCGTCCGCGGTGGCGTGCACGATGGCGAACTCTGCGCGTGCAAAAGTTGTACACACTGTCGCGTTTGTTCCGGCGTTCACCAGGCTGGAGTCACGTCACGACAATGCTGTCTGATGCAGAAAGTGAAATTGAAGAAGAAGTTTTACTTCTGTTTGCTATTATTGAAGACAAAGAGGAACATGAGAGGTAAGTGCAACACAATCACACAATCACAGTATGACGGCATTTGGGGTGGGTATGAAAACAGCCTACTTCTGATAATGTTAAGTAGATAATCATGTATGCAGATAGTGTGTCAGTGTAGTAAGTACCATGGTTCGATAAGGTCTCATTATATATATATAACAAAAATAGGGAAATAATGGGCAAAATCCGCAAAAAGTGGATTCGAGCAGAAAATAGGATAGGTAACCCGAGCGATACGTATTTCTGCTGGTTGGCTTCATCAGGCCCGAAATGAATGCACATATGCAACTACAAAAGTAGATACACATGCTCATACATCCGGATACGGGTGTAACCTGAGGAAATAAAGATGGATGGGAAAAAAGCACACACGAAGTCCACAACAAGAGCATGCCCATTATTTTCCTATTTCTGTTATATACCTTTGTCCGCATGATAATTTTCTCTCTCTATATATATATATATATATATATAATGTAACAAAAAGTAGGAAAATAATGGGTAAATCCGCTAAAAGGAGGAAAGTGGATTCGAGCAGAAAATAGTATATAGGTAACCCGCGCAATACGTATTTCTGCTTGTTGACTCCCTCAGGCCCAAAATGAATACACATATGCAACCACAACAGTAGATACACATACCCATACATCCGATGAACACGATCCTTTTCTCTATGTTGATCCTTACAGCAAGTGGCTATAACCGGCCGCATGGTTGTGGTTAGATGTGTCCTTGAAAATTCGTGGTCTTCTAGCCATTTTATACTACAATGTGTAGGTTTGCTTTTGTTGGGGACTTCGTGTGTCATTTGTTTCCTTCTCCATCTTCGTTTCCTCAGGCTACACCCGTATCCGGAGGTGATGGGCATATGTATCCACTTTTGTGGTGGCACATGTGCATTTATTTCAGGCCTGATGAAGCCAACAAGCAGAAATACTTACTGCTCGGGTTACCTATCCTATTTTCTGTTCGAATCCACTTTCCTTCTTTTAGCGGACTTTGCCCATTGTTTTCTTACGTTTTTGCTATGTACCTTTCTCAGCATGACAATTTTCTCTTTATATATATGTATATATATATATTGGGTACATAAATTCGGATATTGAATATTTTGTGTTACTTTGCGTAGAAACCGAATAAATATTGTTTGATCATAAAGTGCATTTTTCATCGTAGATAACGACCTGTTAAATAAACACAATACTCCGAGACTCCATCCTACTTCATCCCACACCTGGTCCTTTTTTACCTAATATTCTTATAGCCTTAATGAGACGTATCGTGCAACAATCGGTATTTGTGGACCTCATTTATAATTTCTTCCGTTTCCACCGTATAAGTTTAAAAAACAAAGATTTTCTCAACAAATAGTAGCTGCGTGCAGCGTCCTAACGTAACAAGGGCGATCTGATCACCAACGACACGTGCAGACGCTGATCGTGATAGATACTACTTTGAAACCAAAATAATTTGGTATATACCTTAATCTGAAAAGTAAGTAGGAAGTACTTGTAAAATATGCATTAGAGAATACTAACTTGTGCTCATTAGAAAACGAGGACCAAATACGGGGAAATATTAGTATAGGCACATTTTTCATTCCTCCCCGTAATAGCAATATCCATTGCTTCTATGGATTCCCAAACTAACCGATAATAACTCTGCCTCAGATGTGCCGAGTCATATCACCCTGTAGAATATATTCACAATCAAGTATTTAGATGCACAAATGTACTTTCTAAATTCACAAAGCACGCGTGGGATTCTCTCAACTGTGTCAACCGGGATTAACCTCTGAAGATGACAAGAGTGCGGTGTCACCACTCGCGGATTATCCCGTTTTAGGCCGGTCTTTGGTGTACGTCACGAGATCGCAAAACTGACGGGATAAGCTCAACAACAGAGGGTGGGTGTGCCAAATTATATTCTGATGTTATATAAGGGCACTGGGACTTTCAAGAAGCCGTATCTCTTCCTTATTCGACGGATGAACTAATAAACAAACCTAGATGTGACTTGCTTATTTGTTTCAAAACTCCCCCAAGTTTAATACGCCTCTTATTTTTGGATCTTCAGTTTTGGTAAGGCGTTGTTTAGATGAAGAGATGTAAAAAATAGCAATCAGTTAATGTATTCCATTCTGTCAGTGGCTGCTAAAAATATTCACAAATTAGATTATGTACCACCACCGCTCAATTCAATGAGCATCAGTTGCTTTTTAAAGTAACCAGAGTAACCGTCCATTGGACCAGTCGAAATAGGACGGGGTCCAAGGTATGAACTAATGATAGCATTTGAGGGTAATATATCTACAGGGTGTCTCACGTAGAACTGCAGCTTTCGATTACTCGAACGTTGTGTGGAATTCGTCTAAGACATTTTTAAAGTGGTGGTCCTTCCGGTTGTACTGGAAGTAGGTATCAACTTGCGTATTTTAAAATTGAGCACCCTGTATTTCTGTAATCTGCGCAAGATTTTATACACGTTTCATACATAACGTCCTATGCCTAACCCTAACCTTTTTTCAGAAATATAAAATTTTGTGGAAGAAATCACAAATGCAGGTCCATAAAATTTTTCTTATATCTTTATCTCTGCCGAACCATGCTAAAGGCTACAAAGAAAGGCATATGAAGTGATAAAAAATGGATATTTGCAAATATTTTCTAAACTAATAATTCGCAGAGTAGATAACCTTTTATAAGGCTATCCTTATTTTTGTTGCTTGAGATAGGGAAATTATGAATACAAGGTGTTTCCATTTTAAAAACGTGACTTTTGGTATTTCTTACAATCTAATTTTCATCAGATTCTTTTGACCGCCCATATAATAATAATAATAATAATAATAATAATCGTCTTTATTGACCAAAACATGGTACATTACATGGGGCAAGATTTAGCACCTGCTATTCCACCATCTAACCCCGTACAAAAGTGAAAAAAAAACAAGTTATACAAAAACAAAACAAAAAAAATTTGAAACTACAAAGATTAAGTCACAGTATAATAGTACTATTTATGCCAATTTAGCTATAAAAAGAAGAAGAGATAATAGGTTACATTATAATAGGACTATTTGTGCCAATTTAGCTATAAAAAGAAGAGGAGATAATAGGTTATGAAGAAACAGAAAAATAATTAATGAAAAATACAAAAAGTATGAAAATGAAAGAACTTCTTAAGCTAGCGGTTGTTTTGCAATTCTTGTAAATATCTTTTTAACTGAGTTTTAAAACTCAGGGAGGACTGGATAGTCTTCAGATCCTGGCTTAAGCTCTTGTAATATAAAATTGCATTGTATGTGAAAGTTCGTCTAAAAAGTGATGTGCGGTGTATTGGCATAGTTAAGGTGTCACGGTTACGAACCTGAAGATTATGCACAGACGCCCATGGAACAAGTTTACAGCTGAGGTATTGAGGGGATGATGTTAGTATGATCCTGTGAGTAAAGCTGAGAATGGAGTATTTGAAAAGGTTTTGAACGCTTAGCCATGCAAGATTACGATACAAGTGTGATACATGATCGAACTTTCTTAGGCCCTCGATAAACCGTACACAGGTATTCTGCATTATCTGCAAACGTTTTGCGTTAATAGACGTCAAACATGGGTAATATATGGATAAGCCATGTAACATTTTAGAAATAACTAAACTTTGACACAATTTAATTTTGATGTTTCTATGCAGAATATGTTTGTTTGCAAATAGAAGCCTGAGGAACAGATAACATTTTTTCAAGACATTATTCAGATGGGAGTTAAAACGTAAGTCCGAGTCAAAGTGAATGCCCAAATTTTTTACTATTTCAGAAAAAATAATTTCCTCTCCATTAACTTTGATGTGAATTAATGGTTTAAGGTTTTCACATAATCTTTTATTGCCAAATAATATAGCAGAACATTTTGAGGGATTTAGTCTCAAGTTGTGAGAGCTGCAGTACCTATTAACACTATCCAGATCCGCATTTACTAGCATCATGGACTCCTGAACATTGTCGGCATTAAAATCACACTTCATCTGCGTATTATCAGCAAAAAATTGAGCATGTGTATTCTTGAAGTTATCATGTAAGTCTGCAGTGTAAAGTAAAAACATCAATGGTCCCAGTACTGAGCCTTGTGGAACACCTGACTGAATGTACCTTGATGTCGAAATTTGATTACTGATATTTACTTTTTGCCTACGTTCCCTTAAATATGACCTCATAAAGTTGCAGGCAACTTCATCGAAGCCATAGTAGTGGCACTTGGCAACAAGTAGTCGATGGTTAAGCGTATCGAAGGCCTTGGAAAAGTCTAACAGTACCAGCAAGCTCATGTTTTTACTGTCGATGGAAGATATGATGCTATCAATGAGATAAGACAAGGCTGTAGTTGTACTGCGGTTTTTCTAAAAGCCTGATTGATGGGTGGGGATTATATTATGTGCATTGAGATGATCTAGAATCTGTGTATAAGTTACTCGTTCTAAAATTTTAGAGATTATTGGCAATATGCTTATTGGTCTGAGGTTAGCGATGGATATCGGATTAGACAATTTTGGCAGAGGAGTCACCAGAGCTGTCTTCCAAAGGTCGGGAAAGTATCCAGTTTCCAAGCAAATATTAATAACACGTAGCAGATGAATGCCAATTACTGGAAAGCATAACTTTAACATTTGTAACGTGATACCATCCGTTCCAGAAGCATTGGATTTTATACTGCAGATAACAGTTTTAATCACATCTAAATCAACTAGCTTAAAAGAAAATGAATTTCTTTGCAAAAAGTTATTTGTTCTGTAGTAAAGTATTTTTTCAAAGCACGCTTGCTTCATCACTGTTTTGAAAAACTGAGGTAAAGTATTCATTGACTTTGTGAGGGTCTGTGAGTGTTGATGGGATTTCAGAAGATTTAATTGCTTGAACGCGCATATTTCTTAAAGATTTGTATAATAAAGAGGCATTTGTCTGATTTTGTAAATGATCCAAAAAGGCAGACTTTTCATTCCGTAACGACTGTAATGCATAATTTCTCAAAGATTTGTAATTATTCCAATTTTGAACAGACGGATTGCTTTTAAATTTAGACAGCGCTTTATCTCTTTCCTTGAAAATTAACTTCAAATTGGCGGTCAACCATGGTGCTTTCGGTCTAGTGACACGCACTGACACACAATTGGGCAATGTAAATCAAAGGTGGCATTGATGTTGTCAGTCAAAAATTTAAATTTGGTTTCAACGTCACTAAAGTATAAGACCTGCTCCCAGTTCATTTGATGTAAGTCTCGGTTGAAGTTATCTAAGTCGAAGTGTTTATAGTCTCTGAAAGTCACATACTTATGTTCTTTATTTAAACTACAAAGTAGGTCACAGAAAACCATTTGATGGTCACTAATGATATCAATTCTATACGGAAGCAGTTACAAGTTGTTCGACAAAGTGAAAGTATACCAATAATTCGTAGGCTTTAATCGACCTGTATTTGTGATTTTTTACTCAAAGTTTTCTTCTCAAAAACGGTTAGAGTTAGATATAGGGTATAACTTATTTAAGATCTTGCGTAAATTTCAAAAATTGTACAATATACACGGTTTTCCATTTCAATTAAGCAACCGAGGAAGTGCCACTTTGCAGGTGGTTTTTAGTGTGACGTTGACGTTTAAGCAACACGTACAGCTACAAAACGAGTTCACGAAAAGTGTGCAACAGCTTGTGCTAAGTTAGCATCTTGAAGAAAAGCCTAAGTTATGTCACAAAAGACCTACGAAATGTCAAAAAAAAACGACGAAGTGAAACTTTTCAAGAGTCGCAATACCCGTGCTCGTTTTCTCCTATGTACCTTAACAATATTTAACCAAGCAAAATATGCAAACTTAAAACAATTTTTTCATTTTTCAAAATCACCACTAACCCTATTACTACAGATACTATATTAAGCCAAAAAGAAAAACTTAAAAACTGGTTTGTTTTACAGTAATACACTGTTTAGGGCTCGCGCAGACAGACAAGCGTTCAGCATTCAGCGTTCAAGCCGCGTTCGTGCGGTCAATTCCTCTTACGAATTCAAACACAGACAGGTGGCAGTCACTAACACTACGTTCCATTTTACGACGATTACTTGAAGGTGAAACATGTATTTCGACAGTTCGTCTTCAGAAGACGAAGCACTGCTTTTGTGGAGTTTCGAAGAGTCTAATAAGAAAAAAGGTACTGGGTGCATCCGATTTATTGTGAGAGAAATGAAAAAGGAGAGTGTTCTTTCTCATTCCATTCTTGAAGATGAACAACGATTTCTTATTTACCTTCGAATGTCATTAAGTATTTTTAATTAATTGCATGATTATATAAAAAAGGAAATAGAGGAACAAGGCACCAACTGGAGAAAAGGCTATATACGTATTTACAAAATAAATATTGGCAGTATTTTCCCATTTCCGTGACTGTTTCAACCCATGCTGCACTTTTTGAAACTATTTTTATAGTCTGCGTTACTAAAATCATATTAAGGACGCCTTCACCTTACTAAATCAGCTACTTTTTCTATGGAAGCACTCTTGCGAACGAGGTGCTCCACGAGTTTTTTATATTTCTGACAGTAGTACTGACCGGCGCGGTCTGACTGCCGCTGAGTTTGCGCGACTTTATAGAGATAGTCTAATCATATTAGCAAATTTCTCCGCAATAATTGTAGTAAAGTCTAGTTTTTAAGGTGCAAGCTGTTCAAGGAGGTATCTAAAACAGGGACACGTAAAATGGGTACACCTTTTTTTGTGGGAAAACTTTTTATTTGACAACAAAGAATGAGAAAACGTGTCTTTTGGGATTCAATCGAACGTGTTGAAAGGAACGGAAAAACTTTTTATTTATGATTTTTAGGTATATATGAGACCTACAAAATGAGACCACATGTATAAAGATCCGACTGATAGCAAAAATGTTATGGCCGGAGAACGAGTCAAATTGCAGGTTTTGGCACCTGTTAGTAATGCGACGATAATTTCACGATATTATCAAATCCGTAGGATTCATGCTTCTAAATAATATTATATTCGTCAAGTAGTTTTTTGAGAATTTCTAATTGTTTATCCCAAAACGCCTATTTTCCGGCCATCACTACTAGTTTATTGAGCGATACGTTCACAGAGCATTTATCCCTCCGCTACACGCGCCTTATTTTCTTACATAAGTAGGCGCGTGGATTACTATAGTAATCCAGAAGCTTAGAAGCCCTCAAAATGATGTTACTAAGAAAATCGTGTTTCTACTTTAGTGATGACTTTTAAATACATTGTAAGTACTAAATCATTTTATTAAATTCTATTTTTACAAGTAAAATAAAAAATGATCTTGCTAAATGAAGAACGCTACAATAAAAGCATACTAAGAAGTAATACAACAACTTTATTTGAAAAAGAATAAAGTTACTTAAATCCTGAGCTACACCCTATGAATCTGCTTCTGGTCCAGGTTGCATATTTTCTTCATTTTCAGCACACTTTACCAACATAGCTTTTTTCAATATTTCACTTTGCTCTTCTTCCTCTTCAACTTTGACGTCGCGGAGGACCGCAGGAGGAGCTGTGATCCTTGTTCAGATATTTATTATATATTCTTGATCCGAGTTATTATCTGCTAGAGTTTCTTCATAATTTTGATCGTCATCTGGAAAATTGTCGTTTTCCTCTCTAATTCGTTGTAACATGCCAATACGTTCTTTTTTCAAAATCTGGATCCCCTAATTTGACTTTTTTCGATTGGGCCGTCTCTAGACGCAGGATTTAAGAGGGTTAATAGCAAATGTGTTTACCTTGCCGATATGGATCACAAACGATTCCGAAAGAAGAATGTTATTTTTATGCGTAAAACGAAGGTTATGTTTTTGCTTCTAAACAAATGCAAACATTTCGTATATGTCAGTAATTGAAGAAATGCGCTATGATATTCGAAAAACATACATTACTATACACATTTTAAAACAAAGCAGATGTGTCTGTCATTTCTTGTTGCTAATTACTCACAAATACGCAATGTTTGAATTTATTTAGAAGAAAAAACGTAATCCGTTTTTTTTGCATAAAAATAACACTTATCTTCCGGAACGGTTTGTGATTCATATTGCCAAGATAAACTAGTGGATTTTGGTATGAAACACCCTTTGAACTAACCCTGTATATTACTCAATAAACTAGTTGTGATGGCTGGAAAACAGGGGACAAACAATTAAAAATTCTCAAAAACTAGCTGACCAATCTACTCAAATTTTGTTATGGTTGTTAAGAAGTGCGAATCATACAAATGTGACGAATTTCAAATATCTGCGAGAAACCATCTTCGCATTACCAACAAGTGTCACAACCTGCAGTTTGTCTCGGCTTTCGGGCATAACTTTTTTGCTATCAGTCGGATCTTTTTATGTTTGGTCTCATTTTGTAGGTCTCATAACTATCTAAAAATAGTATTTTTCAGTTCCTGTTGGCTGAATCACAAAAAACGCGTTTTCTCATTTTTTGTTATCGAATAAAAAGTTTTCCCACAAAAAGTGGTGTAAGCAATCTATGAATTTATGTTTTGAATACCTCCTTAAACAACTTGCAGGGGTATTTTCGTCTAATATGACTAGACTAAGATCTATTAGTTGCTAAGAACGTGCAGCGCAGAACGCGGAACTCGAAACGCTTGAACGTTTTCTGTCTGCGCGAGCCCCTATTGTCTCCTGAAAGGTTCGTATTAAGGTTGGGTACTGACCGACGCTACGAGGTGTAATGTAACATTCGCACCGAATATGTTCGCATCGCCTATGTACGCATTGTGTTCGAAATCGGTGTAACATGCTCGTTTGAAATATGTGCTCCATATTCGCACAGTCTCAGCCCAGATGTCTGACGAGGAGTTTGTGTTGGGATCTTTGATTCTGCTAAATTAATAACTCTGAATTTAATTGGACCAAAAGTACATAAAAAGGATACAAATTATAGAAAAGCAATCAGTATCACGAAAAGATTGGCACTAACACTACATTTTTATGCTACTGGAGATTCCTATGCTAGTATGCAATATCTTTTCAAGATGTCAAAGCAACGGATAGAATTTATAGTGAAAGAGGTCAGCGAAGCTTTGATTGGAGTATTAAAAGATTACGTACTGTTTTAATTAATCCAGAAAAAGTATTCATTACATATCAAATTAAATCAGCAAATTCTGATAGAAATTGTTCACTCTAAGCTGGAGATCTACAGTCAGTTTGATCAGGCGTATGTGAAGCAGGTGCTTCACGGCTTTGCTGTGGCATCGATGGAGCTCTTGAAGTTGTTGGTCGTGTAGTGTATCCTTGTGAAGAATTATTGTTATAATCGCCAACATACTCATACTCTCCGCGATCAGCACTATACAATATATTTGATATGTAATGCTGAACATATGTTCTTGTTGTCTTTGAATAAGATCTTAATTTATTTGCCAAAAAAATACCGTAGGCTTCACATTCGTCAAGTTTTTGTGAAGTTGACTCCGTTTGCTCGTTTCTCTTTTTGAAAATATTTAAATTAGATGCCATTATCTCTTCCGGGTTAGGGGCTACTGCTTTCTTCCTTTTTGGAGGCAGAGGGCAATCAATGTTGCTTGGTTTGGCAGATGGAGGGCACTCAGTGTTGCTTTGTTCTGAAGGTCCAGCGCGTAGCTGAAAATAAACGTAAATCATTACTTCAGATGCCAGAAACACCGGAGCAATGGATGGCTTTAGCAAATGAGTATGATACTTTGTGAAATTTTCCACACTGCCTAGGCGCAATCGATGGAAAACATATTATACTGCAGGCACCGATCAACAGCGGAAGTGAATTTTATAATTACAAGGGTTTCTTCAGTATTGTTGGCAGTTGTTGATGCGAAATATAACTTTTTGTACGTAAACATTGGATGTCAAGGAAGAATATCCGATGGAGGGGTCTTCAACAACTGTGAATTGAACGAAAAAATACAAAATAATGCACTGAACATTCCTGAGCCCACTGCCTTGCCACCAAGAACGGAAGAAGTTCCATTTTACTTTGTTGGAGATGAAGCTTTTGCTCTATCCGAAAATATGATGAAAGTATATTCAGGATATCAGAGCTCGTAGAGTGGTGGAAAATGCGCTCGGCTTATTATCTGCAGTTTTTAGAGTTTTGCGGAAACCAATGCTGTTAGAACCAAAAACCGCGACATCTGTTGTAACTGCAATAACACTACTTCACTTTTTTTTAAGAAAAGGTAATAACGCTCATGTATATACCCCTGCGGGTAGCTTGGACGAAGAAGCAAATGGGATAGTCAGATTAGGAAACTGGAGAGAAAGTAACAATGATATGGCGAGTATTTTACCCTTGGATATAAGACCGCGAAGGGCTTCAAGAACTGCTCACAATATTCGTAATGAAGTTGCTGAATATTGCATCCAAGAAGGGTATGTCAGCTGGCACGAAAATTATGCTTAAAATAAAAGTTACCGTATCTGTTGTGGCAACAGGTGTATTTATATCCAGTAGAAACATCATAGTTTTGTATGCAAACCAAGTACTATGGTATACTTCTTCAGCATCTGAAAATAAAGTATTTTTGGAATACAAAACATACCTACATTTATTTTACTTATGTGGTTCTTAAACTAATGCTGCTCTCGTTTTGTCTTTGAATCTGACACGTGGCAGCATAATTTGACATACAACTTAACTTTAAAATATGGTTGAGTATTTGGGGGCTAATCGTACTGTATTATAGGAACTTAAAAAACATAAAAATAATTACCTACCCTTTCCTGTACCACTTGATCTTTTTATTTTCCCTTTTTCCCTCCTCAATGACGCCAGTAAGCCTGTCATTTTCGTTTTACACGTATTTCTTTCGCTATCCATTAACAAAGCCCATCTATCCCAGGCGTCTTCTTTTTTAATTTTTTGTAGTGCTCTGGATGAGCTGGATTCCACAATACCGATTCTTCTCTATATTTTTTGATGAAATGCAGAGTTTTTTCTTTGTTCCACTCCATATTCCTAATAATAAACGAACAAATAGTCGAAATGAACAACGTGTGCGCGTCACGACTTGTTGCAGCGAAGTGACCGAACCGCGTAACACTCAAAGGATTCGCCGAAGAACCGACAGCCGGGTGGAGCACTCAAAGCGAGCAACGAGCAGCTCGTTGCTCGATGGTTCTCCCGTAACACGTTACATTACGCCTCGTATCGTTGGTCAGTACCCACCTTTATGGGACTTACGAGGTTTTTGAATTGACCGATTTAATGAAAAATTTATTTTGTTCACTTACTTCAGTCGGGCTTTTTGTACTATTTAAAAACGTACTTGTTCATTTTTTTGCTCACAGGTTCACCAACTACAAAATTATAAAGCCTTGTCCAACTTCTCCATTCAGATGATGGTAGTAAATTGCGTATCTGTTATGTACACTGTCTGTTGCTAATGAGCATTGTTCAGGCCAGACTGTGAGCTTGATGTCTATATACAAATAATATCACATTTCACTGTCGGCGCGGTAGTGTAACAGATATGAATTATCAGCTCAGACTGTCCAACGAACCGACATTTGTCGGCGTAGAGAATGTATGTGGATATGATGCATTTAACGTTGTCGTTCCTAATTAGAAGCCCTTTATCCATGGACAATAGAGGTCTGAGCATCCACGGGCTAGATTCATTATGATAAAACGACAGACTACTGTATGAATAGCTGAGGCCGTGTTAGCCGAAGTGTCTTCAGCATCGGCGTTGCCGTTCGTTATGCCCGTTAGCATATTAGGTCGTCTGGAAGCTATTGCATATTATGGTAATAATGAATTTGATGCCACGAGATGGTACGCAAATGGCCATTCCGTGGATGCATTGGATTTGTTTCGTTTAATTATCACTGTGGGTCAAATTGCTTTCAAGCAACATTTGGGTTACTCTGAAATGTTTGGATACTCCTTTCATTAGTTACTTGACGTATAACGCTTGGAGTCGTTCATTCTGGAGAAAAAAGTTTGTTGAGTTTTCTCCATTTGAGAATTTTGGAACCAAGACACTAGTCCAGAAGATGCAAAGAATTCCCAACCCACAGGCAAAAAACATGTGCCACCTACCCAAATTAAATCTCTAAGATTGAATTACAAAGTCGTGAGACTGTTCTGAAGCATGTTTTTGTAATATTCATGATTCACACAGCAAACTATACAAAAAAGAAGATTCCTCAAAAAAATATTCCTTATCATATCTTTTTCAAGTGATCTTTTTGAGCTAGACTCAAAATAATGGCAGATATGTATGTGGTCTGGCCTACGCAAAAACTGTCACGCTTGATGAAAAATATAACAAGTCTTCCGAATTAGTCATGGTGATACATGCTATACCAAGTTTGCATATTAAAACGTATTGTTCTTATTATCTAAAATTTAAAGTGGAACATATATATTGATTGAGTTATAACCAATCTGAGACCAAGATTGTTTGAGTTCAACTATCTAAACAAATATTTGGGTAAAAACAATTAAAACTTTATACATGCTATGACCGAAAGTCGTATGAGCTATGCGATATTAGGCTGAGGTGGAGCACTTAACCAAATGAATAAATTAGAAATTATCCAAAAATGATTTTTAAGAATATTCTCTGACAAGCCACTCCTATACCCTTCTGATCTGTTGTATTCTGAAGCAAAACTGTTGGATAATAGGCAACGATTTTTTTAAAAAATCAGTTTTAACATAGAAATTACCTTATTCCGTTAGATCACTTATATCAAACGAGAAAAAAAATCAACACCATCAAGCAAATACCTTTCACCTCAAAACATATACTATATACATATACATATACAATACAATATAATATATTCCAGGTATTTATATTTGTTCGCATTTCTACTTGCTAATGTGGCCATAACTAGAGAGTAAAGTGAGACTTGTTTTGTAAATTATCCCTTGATTAATTTATACATATTAGTAGAATCAGTTCTTGTTTGTGGTTGAAATTCGATCCCTCGGATACCCATAATGTATGTAAGCTTGTTTCTTGATAATTTTAGCTCGGTCAGTTATGTTTGTTTGTACCAAATATCTCATTCAATGTTTGTTATATTTTTAACTCTGACCTTGAAGAAGAAGTCATAGAGTATTCTTGATACGCCCTAGTTGTCCAAAGTACATATTTCACTCTTTCGTGCGTGATTTGGTCAAAATTACATTGCCCCCTTGCCTTTAGTGTTGTGTAATGAACTATTAGGGATGCTTTGAAACCTAAAAATCTTCCTTTTACACACGCAACATCAGAAAATTGAGGTATACTGTCCACCATCTCCTACGATCCTCTACCTACAGTTTTTCATCCCTCAAAAGATTAAAGAACGTGGGATCTGAGAAACGTCGAAAAGCAGAGCTTCAGCGATTTTTATTTAGCTTTTTCTTGCCCCTAATGCTGGTGGTGCCGCATTATTTTTCAAATCTGTTTTTTCGTATTTGGCATACTAGCAACCTTATGTCATAATTTCATCAAAATAGTTATAGAGAAGCCAAAGGTTAGCAGGGAACAGATCAACGTGGCATGGTTTCTCGTCATATGGCATCTCTTTCCATACAAGTATAAGTAGATTGAGTTATCGAATTCGGTTGAATACTTCCTGGCAAATTAGCGTGAGAAGTACAAGATCAGTCAGTAAAAACAGTGATAATGCCTATAGACATTCTCAGGGCTCTAAAACATCATCAGGTATTGTATGAAATCCTGAACAATTAACAAGTTTGAGAGTTCACAAGATTGAATATAACAAAATAGAATGAAAGAAGGAGAACATTTCGGTGGAAAAGTTGGTTATTGGCGATTGAAAAACTAAGCACCTTTTGATATAGCGACATGCTAACGTTATACTCGTACTAAAGCCCCTCATGAAGATAGCTATGAAAATAAATCCAACACGAATATGTTTCTAGCAAGTGTCAATTTTCACAGTATCTAACGGGTATGACTATCGAATTGGAATTCTGTAGAATAATGAGATTTAATTTGACCCATTTTCGGCTTCAGCATGACTATGCCCCAAGATTTTTTTTTTGACTGGAACACCTTCATCCTGAGATATACAAAACTCGCCACAGGCTTTTTAGGTCCAAGACAAAGAAAGGTTCATGGGGGTCAGCGCCTAAACAAAGAAGTGATTTGACGTTTTTCTACTTTCGGGTTATTTCGGTCTGTAATGGAAATATAGGAAAATTTCGCTTGCCTTCTTTGGTTGAAAATATCGCTAACAGCGCTTAGCACTTCTGTGTAGCGATAATGCCTCTTAGCCGCATTTGATGAATTTGATTGTCAATAAATTTACAAAATTATCTTAACAATAATTTATGGGAAGATGTCTTTCATTATTGTTGGATAATAATTTACACATAGATATATGTCAGCTATGATCCAGCATAGTGTTTGTGAAACTTCATCAAAGTAATATAAAAAAATTATACACTATCATACGTATACCGCTGGTTTCCTGTTTGCAAACTTACATTATCTATGGTGTGCGAAAAACTGTTTGATCGCTATAAAAGTACACATAAACTGAAAAAGCATTTATTTCCTCAAGTATAAAAAAATAATAGCAAAAAAAGGGCTTTGTGGATCGAGCGAACGTTGAAGGTATATCAAATATGTTATAATTAATTAGAATACTCTTGGAAACTATACAAGATACAATGCTGAAGCTTTAAATAATGTATTACCGAGTATTTTGCTTAATTTTGAAGACTGTCAGCTCGCTGCAATTGGCTGATATTTGTCTACTAATTTATCGTTTTCTCGAGTTTATTTTCCAATATTTTGAACTCGCAGTCGCTTTAATCGTCCGATATTTCGAAAACAGATGTATACTATGCTAAAACTTTTAGAAAAAAGGTCCAGGGAATTATATTTCTTCATTAGGAAACTGGATGACATGACCTACTTATTTGAGTCATGCGGTCATTAATAATGAAGCCATTGAGCACATGCTACATACTAACTAGCCTAAGACAGTTTGAAACATAATTGTGTCTTCATTTTGCGTGACATTTTTATAAACAGTTCAGTATGGAATATTTATTTTTATAAACTCGCCCTGGGGCC